GTCTGTTTTTCGAGTTTAGAAAATGTGAGCTGGCTGGAGCCTTCATGCCTTGTCTATTTCTTACACTAGATACCAGCCGATACCCCCCCCCCCTCCCCGCTCATAGAGACTGCGTACTACAGTTGATTATAGTTCCTGAGCTCCCTGTGGTATCAGCAGAAATGACGATCATTATGAAATGTTCTTCCAAACAAACACTATACAGACATTTCAAGACGAAACATTTTATTAAACATGTGCATCACTGCTTTGAAGTCTATGTAGCAAACCCATGGTACTGTGGAGTATTCTCACAATATATATTTAAATTTTGTTCATCTTATTCTGTTTTATTTTAACTATGATCCCGCTCTTGTGGGTTTTCGTGATTATCACTACTTATTAAAAAAAATGCCAGCAAATAAATAGTACATTCAAATAAATAGATAGATAAATAAACAAATATAATATATATAATCATTTGTTTTAAATGAAAAAAACAACAACAGACACTGAAAGCCTATTTTACATAGATTGGGTATTCCCACTACCTGCCACATTTCAAGCTGTGGTGTGCCTTCAGACTTAGTTTCCTAACCTGTTTAAATCAATCTCTTTACATAACTCAATACTCACCCATATTATCTAAGCTACTCTGGTGGTTACATATTATAATATACGGAGTTTCTGATTGCAGACGTTCTATGTGACGTACATGAAGCTTGATTCCAAACAGGTGTTTAACTGAATTCCGTGCAATTACAGCTGCCCACCTATTAAGCATGGATGACAAAAAATAAGAACAGTCAGATGTTTTCAGTATATAGTGTTTTTTTATTTGCTGTTTTCATCAACTTGTCTTGAACAACCACGGGTTCATACATGTATAAACAACGCCATAGTCATAGCAGTTTCTTTACCCCAAAAGTAATATTCGAAAGTTTTATCGATCTTGTTCATGTCTTCTCGAAAATTAAAATTTGCTTGTAATGTTAACTTTAACTTTGTGTAGCTAATGTGCAAATGTCTACTGTACAACGGAAATGCGTGACTGTGTCGTGCGTGTGTAGCTAATGTGCAAATGCCTACTGTTCAACGCCGGGAAATACGTGGGGAAGAGTTCCTTTTGTACCCCCATCCCTAACCCTAACCCTAATTTTAACACTCCCTGTTACCCAATTCATTTGTATATGCCCCCTCTAACTATAGATGTCCTTAGGAGGGGCATGTACAATTAAATGGGGAGTGCTGGAGGGGAGGGGTATGGTTAGTGTTACGTTAGGGATGGGGGGTACAAAAGGAACTCAATTTGTATTTGTCGCTATGCTGCACATTTATTATCGACAATTATTACGTTTGGAGTAACTCGGCCTTTTATTCACCTTTACTTATAGTATTGTGCGCTGTCGAAAAAGTTGAAAGAACTTGACCCATGATTCACCCCTCACTGGTAGGGCTGTATGTTGCATTGCTTTGTATATAAATGTCAATCAGCTCTCGACTTCCCATCTCATCTAAAGAATATGTCGTCACTACTTATTTGTTCTAGACAAGCGCTTGTAACTTGGGGAGTAAACGATGCTTCACGCGACAATTACGCGTTTATGCTGACATACATTTACAAAAGAGCACTCCACATATCTTTCGATATTATTACGGCGTCTCGACAGTGACGTCAGGGTCAACGAACTTTCAAGGGCTCACTAGGTCACGATTGAGTATATAATACATTGACGTCCTGATTTCCCCGCCAGTTGCTCCGTCTGTACTCATCCATCCCGGTGTGCTGAATACTAACAGGAGGAAAGAAAGAGTACCTAAATTGTGTACAGACGACTTAATTGTCAAACACCTAATTTGGACTTACCCTGAATTGTCTACGTCACCTGGCTTCAGCAGGCATAGCGGCAAGATTAAACATCCAATGACCATATAACAGCTGTTGTACATAAAATACTTGACATGAAATCGCAATGTTTGACTGTAGACAACGCTAGCAGACATCAACAAAAACAGCAACACGGAGAGCGCATACAACAACGTGCTGATGACAGTAGCCGCCATGTTGCTAAAGTGACGGCGTAAGAACTCCAACGACTTGTTTCGTCACCTTAACGTACAGCCGCGCCATTCCGGTATATGTTTGCCACCCCCATGTGTATTTTGGTACGCCGAAACCAAGCGGGGTGTGGCGCATTTAATGAATTCCCACTAGCCCGTACAAGATGTGACGTATTCACCTATCCAATGACATGCGTTCCCGTTCCCGGTACACGTTTAATTATACGTTGACCTAACAACACACACAGCGTAATTCACTTATTATCTAAGATTAAATTCGTATACTACCTTGATCAGATACCCTCCCCTAAAAGTGTCGTGTTCCATAAGAAATATGTTAGCCTGTGTGTTTTCGATCACAGTCAATATTACTACTTGCGTGTAAATGCTTCAAATAACATCATCTACAATATTCTACTAAACAGGCTACTGTAAATTACTTCATTTTCGCTGAAGGAATGATTCAGTGAAAATAAAATCCAGCGAATATACCGTTTTCCCTATATTTTACATTCAACTCGTCAGAAATCAGTGAAAATAAATTCCATACAAAACTCCCCAGAAGTCTTTTCAGCGAAAATTAATTCCACCTAAAATAAAGTATTTTACAGTAACTTCTACACACGACATAAAGAGGTTCAAGCACGCGTACAATCTTGATCATAGATTTCCGTCCTCTGCACCAAAACAAAGTTCACATGATTTATTGAATTATGCCATACACAGCGTCTTCGGTTTAATATATTATATTAGTGACGATAAAGCAAAAAGTACATTTTTAGACTTCCATGAAATCCCACTGTTGTGAAAGACAATAATTTCGTCGGATGAACTATCATTTAACATTCATGTGTCGTTCTAGGCAAAAAGGTCATCCCTGTATTGTCAAAGTAAATGAGATGGGCAATACCTTTTATCCAAGTACTGCCAGTTTCCTGTATTGTACAAACGACACGGTTAATGGACTCTTTGATTCTGTTTACTGACGTGGCCAGTACTACGTTTTGTATTGTATAATAATATGCATGTATAGTCTAGGAGATGGGTAATGCTTCTATAACAAAGATACCATAATTACATCATGTTTTACCTAACTGAAATGATGACCGAGTGAATCACAAACGACAAACTTCATGATGAAAATTGTTTTAAGAAAAATAGCACACTTGACCAAGGTGACATTAATGTTACACATCTACTTGAGTTCATATGTCATAAATCCATATTAATGCTATACAAAAATCGTCTGGTGGTTACCATGGTTACAATTTGGCTACGGCACAGTGAGCACAAATACATTCGTTGTTAATCTTTAACTCGAGCGAATTAACATATACACCGTGAAAATAAATAGCATAAACATAACTGAACGTCCCTCGAGTTCACAAGTTAAAGCACCTTATCGTCTTCGATATGGTCTCAAACATAGGCATACACCACATGCAGTGTTTGCTACAGTATCCTTCGGACCGTAGTATAGGCCATTTATATAATGTATCTTACGATTATATGTATGCTGTCACGTGTTTCTCAATAAAATGAAACACATACATAATGTCATCAAACTATCATTCTAAGCGCATGCTCGGTTGCGTCGGGTGAATGACACCACGCGAGTTCAGACAAAGTATCCGTAACGATGCTCGATGTATCGTATTATGTATCATATACAGTATCTTTATTTATTGTCACTGGAAGTATCGAGTATCGCTGGATATAATTCATATATCTTGGTATATTAAAAAATATAATGTTACTAAACTAAATAAATATTTAGAACTATTTGCTCAAGACTAAAAGTAACCACATTTGGGCGATATATCCAAGGCAAGACGCGACAAATTTCACTCAATCGAACTCAGTATGTCAGTCATATTCCTAGGAGGTGGGGCATGCTTATCGCGAACATTATGGAACTTTTACCGCTATGTGCTTGCGCAAAAACAATGTCTTGAACTTGTACGCAACTTATTTTTTTGAGAAGTCTTTAAAAAGATCAAAAGCTTTTAATTGTCCATTTTCGGCTTTTTATACAGATATCTGTATTGATGGGTCGTAAGATGACAAAATAGTCTATCATGAAATTTAACATTGTGAACTAATATTAAACAATTACATATAATTTAATATATGTTAATTTAATTAAATAATTTAATTTCCAGAATGATACTACTTTTTCCTTTTATACAATGGGATGTTATCTCCCATAATGCATGGCATACATGAGCAGTAACATGCTCAGTAGTGTAAAATTACATTTATAATTTACTATACTAATTTACTATCTGCGTGTTTTGCTGTTACCCCAATAACAGTATTAAATTTCAAATGATAAAAAGGTGTTTATAAACTGCACATATTAATCGGCTGATTTGCATATTAATCTAATAAATCTATTTGAAATCAAAAAATCTATAAAGCAGCATGAGTATGCTGAGGCAGAGGCGGTTATAGTTTTTAAATTTACATCACACTGGCACAGAAGCACTATCATCTCTAGTTTTTATTTTCAAATAGCATTCCAAAATACTACCCAGCAACTTGTACGTCTAATATATTCGTTTTATTACTTGCAAAATTTATTCCTAATTGTATAAGTCCCAAATAGTTGCTCGCCCATGTTGCCTCTAAGTTTTCCCTTTGTTTTATAATATTGAAGGAGGGGTCATTAAAAGGGGGGTAGTCAGTGATAATTCATTTTCTATTTCTCCAACCAACAGAAGTCCAACAGAAAACAGCAAATGAAACAGAGTAGAAAAAATAGTATGAAGAAAAAAATGAGGAATCGATACAAACAGGATGGCGACATAGTAACGGTAGACCAAATGAAAAGATTAAGGTAGGTATAGGAAGTCGTATTTATTCATGAGCCAAGAGATACACAAAATCCAACCTAACTCGTACAATAAATTACAAGCGCTAAATGTACATTAAATATGTATTTTCTTCATGGATTTTATTTTGCTTGGTGGTGGTGGAATATACATAAATACAAAAAAAAAAACATTACACCTTAATGGAAAACCATCGTGACTGTGAAGGAAAATAGTGTCACTTTTATAGCTTTCATAATTTTTAACTTTGTTCATTCAACTGAATTCAATTAATAAAAAAAAATGAATACATATACAATTATTTTAATAAATTTCCTAAAAAATTTATAATTGTATGTAATGAATTCATCAAACTAGCTAACTATTGTCAACATTCTTGAGCTGACAAGTTATTGAAGTAATCTATAAAAATACTAATTACAATATAATTCATTAAAAACAAATGATTACATTCTGACAAATACAATACCTGGAAAATTAATTTGAACACATTTCTAATTAATTTAAACGTGTGACTAATGAATGAGGTTGTCACTGTATTATTTTTTACTGAAAGCCTAGAAACATGCACATTTTGATGGTATTTCCCTGTAACCACATCGCATTCAGGCATTGTATATTTATTTAATGATTGATTGGTTAATTAATGTTTCATAAAATATGATAAATAATAAATCTAAATTCCAATTTTGTACTGTTTTTGAAAATTTAGTTATCACGTAAAATTCAACAAGGGCTGCGAAATGCATGTGAACATATTCTTAATGACAAACATATACATATAGGAAATGTTGGAAATGTGGGTCAGTTGGACGAGACCGACTAATTTAGTTTCGGGCCGGCAGTTTTGAAAACCAACAAGCCTCTTGACCGATACAAAATACATTCCATAGTGTTTAAAGTAAACAGGTCCTTCAAATATATAAAAAACAATTTACGAAAACAATGAGTATATTCAGATGTTCAGGACACAAGTTGTAGTGAAATTAGCTATTTAAAAAAATACATAAATTAAGCATAGAATGTTGTTTAGTGTGTAAAACAGTTCAAATTCGGACAACTTACGCCAACGTTTAGGGCAACCCTGACTGAGGTTTTTCGCTGTGGGGTTTTCAGTGATTTGTTGTGAATCTTTGTTGTGAAGTGTATTCGTTTGTGCACACTGAACGTCTTTATGAATAATTAATGACATCACGTAGCGTTCTGTGACGTCATTTGTGAAGTACAATATTGACTCAAGACATTAAGTGTGAAAGGGAAATCAACGCTGTCATGTAGCTGTTGTGTAGAGGCGATTGCATTGTGTCGTATCTATGCTGCATTTAACTTACATGAACAAAATAATAAATTATTTCATTAATCAGAACTCAACTCGAGAGAGAATATCAGAGATCTGAACATGCAAACACGTGTTTTTACATAACCCTGCAAATATAATGTGAACATTCTTTTGGATTTCACACAGGAAGTGAAATGGTTTTATTCAATTCTTCAAAGAGAAGTTAACGTGAATATACATTTGAGTGTTTTCGGGCATGTTTAACTAATTCGTTCCAATAACGTATTTTAATGGCAATATACATTACAATATAGTATGCCAAGACAACTAAGACACAGCATGAAAGTGATGTTGTTATCAAGGTAAAATTTATAAAACAGAATTATTGTATTGCATCTTTAAAGTAGCAATACCTTGAAATATGCATATCAAATGCGTCTCATCATTTAGATTGTCTGTGTGTAATCACCTGAAGACATGAGTTGCATTTTTATCTTCCCATCCAATGTGAAAATAGCATTTGTGTCAAATTACATCCGAGTATAAAATAAGACTACAGCTGCTTAAATCTGTCATAAACGGACACCTTTTCGAAGCGGACGCTTTCTCGAAATGGGCTTCGGATTCTGACTGATATATTCTGTACAACGCAATCTGAAATTATTGTGCATTGCATAGGACAATTACCACCAAAGCTGATGGTGTTTGCATGGTAAAGTCGACAATTGTTCTTGAATTAGTACGTCTCCAACGCTAACGTGTGAATCTAGTCGTTCTCCAAGGCTATATAAATACATTCGTGGAGAAACTATATATTTATAACAAATAGTAATGCTAGCGATAAACCTCTTTATTTGATTTCTCAATTTTTAAATTAGAACCAATCCACATGCAAATGTCCAACTGTCCGGGAAGAAGAAAAGAAAACTATTAAAAGGTTTGATGAGAACACAGAAAGATCGAGACTCGATGGATGGTAAGATATATAAATATCAGAAATAATAAAATATAATAATAAATATAATGTAATTTGGGGTCTCTTGAAATTATGGCTGGAATATGGTGGTACCAAGGTGCGCTCAATCCTCTCAAAACTTCGTATCATTTATTTTATATCGTTGTATTTTGTTTGATGTGCTTCGACTTATACTTCCGTCAAGAAGATATATGCATATAAGTATGCTATATATCGTATATATTATAGGTAGCTATGGCAATACATCATGTAAATGTCAACACTAAGGAATAAGCATGTCATACGGGCCATAGTATTATATTTGCGTATTTCGTGTATGTTTCTTCTGTTTGCCTAAGAAATGATAAACTATTAATTTAACAAGATTTATGGCCACAAAAGTAATATTCTGTTTATCTAATTAACTATAAGCTACCGTTCAGACCCCCCCCCCCACACACACACACGCCAATACAGTTGTATAATTCAAATATATTATTGTGATTTTTGATTTACGGGTAAGTAAAACGAAATTACATTAACGGATGTAACTGATAACTTTTCCAATGAAATCCTTAGCACCCCGTTGGCAGGCCAGTCACACTGGTTCTCACCACAAGAGGTTACGATCCCCCCTGCCAAATGCTAAGTACAACTGAAACTAATATCTACATATTTACATGAAACATTGTCCACCTGTGCGGATCTATTTGTGCAGGAGTTTTACGACCGTATGCCCTTACTGACGTCAACCGAACTTGTTATGTGGGAAGTTGGCACCCAAGGCTCACAGGTGCTACACCTTACCCAAGGGTGACCTGGAGGTAGTTGCGGCAAAGGGTAACCTCATTCTCCCGAGTACAAAAACTCCGCAACCGGATGCAATTTTAACGTCGTACCCAGGACATTACTAACTATTAATTTAACAAGATTTATGGCCACAAAAGTAATATTCTGTTTATCTAATTAACTATAAGCTACCGTTCAGACCCCCCCCCCCACACACACACACGCCAATACAGTTGTATAATTCAAATATATTATTGTATGTAATGCGTTTGCTTGTATGTTATCTTTGTATTAGAAACGCCACTCGCGATCGACAGTGTTAGTTTTGGTCAGAGTGGAGTAAATTTAGAAGTGTAAACCCACACTTTCGAGTGGGTGTTTCAGACTTGTAACGATTCAACAAAAGTTGCATTGCTCCATGCAGAACGTTCTGTGGCGGTTAATTTACATAAATACATAAGTCGGAATTATGCTTTGCCATTTGCTCATGGATAATGTATGTGACATTAAAATGACGATGGTAATTCATCGATTTGCCAAGAATCCACAGCGGAATCCACAATAGTTCAATCATTAGGGACTCTGGCGACTGTGTTTGATGTTGTGGGATGGGTTTGAATCCTAAACATTGGCCAACTTGCTCAATAGTTGAGGAAGAACTCTCCAGACGTTGCACCCTTACTACAGGTGAACAGTATTTGTAACATGTTTTCTTACATGTAACCTTTGTAATATGTCTGCTTACACGTTGGCTTATCTTTTTTCACAGTGGATTTTGTTTCTCCTAAACCGAAGACAACAACTCCCAAGTCAGAGAAAAGCTCAGCCGACAAAGATGTGGAAATGTCTGAAAACAATTCGTAATTGTTTGGAATACGCTCAACTCTCGTTTTTTCATGATATATTCTATTTATGTCAAATAGTGAAAGTGAATTCATGAAATACCATTATTAATCTTTGGTATTTGTGTTATGAAATATGAAAATAAATACTACATATACTTTATAAACTAGACATAAAAATATGTAAAGCTTTATGGTCGTTACCAGCCTGGGGTATCTTCATCACTTTTCAGACAGTTAAAGGACGGTGGTCGTCGCGCTGCGCATGTGCGACATTTGTGTTGATAAATATTGATTTTCTCACACTCCAATGCGTTTCTAAAGGAAGTCACAAGTATGAGGTTCGACTTGGGCACGACTTGCACTAATTACCGCCAGTGACTCCTTCGACACCTTCCAATCGCCCAAACAATACCTAATTAAAGCTTGGTAGCGTCTCAGTTTGTAGTCGTTCATCTGCTCAACAGTCAAAGTTGCCATCTTTGCTTATATGAGACCCATATATCTCGCACATGAGTGGCGCGACGACTACCGCCCTTTAACATTTGAAAATGTACTCTTTTAAAAATGCAGAGCTGGATTTCGATGTCGGCTAAGCCAATGGCAGATAATGAGATAAGGGTGTGTGACTGGTATGATGCGGTGAATATCGCGCGATCACGGGAAATCAAGACGTAACTCAGGCATAATGCGTAAATAATTATGTGTGTGGATGAGAACGAAAAGTTCATGGGTTGTAGGTGTCTGGGTTGACAAACTTGGCAGGAAACAGCGAGTTATATTGTTATTCTACAAGTGTACGTGAATTTAGCGAATTTCACTTATCAACGAAAAAAAAATTAAAAACTAGCGATTAATTAATGCATTTACAGTTTCTACATTTGGTACGAGTTGTTTCCCGAGGGTGCATTTTTATCTTGCCCGTATAATCAAAGATGGAAATAAAAGGTATATAAAGGGGAAAATGTCTGTCGTCGTTGTTGTTAATGTGTGCACAATAACGTTTACTAATTCTATTCCAAAATATCATGCAAAAATTGAGAAATCTGATAAAATATTTTGACTGTTTCTACTTGACTGATCCCGTTCAAAGGTCGCTGATCCCAGAGGTAATATGCATTGTTTCATGTGTTCAATGAAGTAAATCATTTATCTTGTAATAATATCCTTGGCAATGTATCTCCAAAATCCCATGGGAATACTAGACTGGGTTTCAAAACCAACTTATGGAGAATTTTTGCACAGTCTGATACACATTTGCAAACCTAAAATCTTTACAGAAAACAAAATGTCAGAAAATCAATATAAGCACTCCTATGACCTGGAAGCCAAACTTTGATCAAGATCTGAAGCTAATAGAAAATCTGTTTAGTCCAAAGTTATTAAATCAAAAATAATACATGAAAAGCAAAACGTTGCATCCACATTTTGAAAAGAAAATTGTACTCAAAAATAGGTATTCTGTATTTGACAAACAGTCCATTCAACAAATGAAAATTCACAGGAATTTGTTTCAGCTATTAGAACAGAATGATAGCTTTTATAATAATAATTTAAACACGCACTTCAAAAACAAAGATTGCAGTGTTTGAAGACTCTGAGAAGGCAACAGTACTGTTGACTCCTCTCTCCACTGGACACGAACTTACTATTTAAGTTGATTTGCATACAAAGCAGAGCCTGTAACATGATAGCTATTCATAGAGGGCGTTTTTTTACTTTTCAAATATTACAGTAGTCACAATGAATATAATAAGGTAGTTCATATTTATCTCAGTAATTTATCTCAGTCAGACACCTGTACAAAATACTTGAGCAAAAGCAGCTATGATTTTCTGTTATCTTGCTTGTTCTACGAATCTATTCACGTCTAAATGCAGTACGTTTTTCTGAGATGAGACATTTGTTTTTATACTAAAATATCTGAATTACTTTGAATAATGCTGGAAATTGTCTCCCTTAAAATAATCAAACAAATTAGGCACCAATGTTTTTGTAAGATATTTACATCTTTTAAGGACATTCGGTAGACTGATTCCCCACTGTTGGTTCAACCCCAAAACTTGTTTGTATTCAAAATTAATTATGACTGCATATTTATGTTGAAACAAACTATGATAAAGGGAATTATATTATATAACAAAAGGCACGGTCACCAGAGTTCAACTACTTTTCATGTTTGAGCAACACTTTCTGTTAATAATAATTTCGATAACCTACTTTATATTAATTATTATACAAGGGCAAATGACGGAACCCATCCATGGCATATGGGTAAAGTTGCATATCATTTTACGAATGTGGAACTACCACCCCGAGCAATATATACACCATCAAGAAATTGGCCGCAGTATATAATTTTTTAAGCACTCTAAACCCCTGTTTGTTTAAGAGATAAGATGTGATTTGATGTATCATCGGGGAGTAAGTCAAGGAGCGCCCGGTTATCGTGTATAGACCCCATGTCACCAACTGTAAACAAAACACTCTTACGTATCCTAGAACGGTATCATTTATGAGTTCGACGAAGTCAGTGCGCCATTGCTTTTTAAGTCACCCCCCCCCATACCCCCCCCCCCCCCAACGCTTGCCCCTCCGATAACCTAGTGACACAGAGCATGTGATGTTAAGGGATTCAATGAGATCGTGGTATGACCATGGGATAATAGTAATCATGTAGGTCACATTGTATACCAACATGGCGGCTACCGTCGTCATTACGTTGTTCTACGTTCTCCCTGTGTTGTTGTGTGTGTTGATGCCCGTCATTGTCGTATACTGGCGAACGCTGCGGTTTTACGTAAAGTATTTTCTGTACAACAGTTGCTATATGGTCATTGGGTGTTTAAGTATACCGTTTTGCCTTCTGAAGCCAGGTGACGTTGATAATGGAAGGTAAGTTCATAATCGCTCCTCACAAAGCCCCCAAATCAATGGCATGTTTAGAATATTTAACCACTATGCCGAGTAGGGAGGGTATATGGAACAGCCTCAGTTGCCCAATGACCGTACACTTTGACGATCCAGAACTAGCTCCGTCAAATGATCATCCCTTTTCTACACACGCCTCAGACTACTATATAAAGCACACTCGAGCTGACTGTGGGTGTATTATTATTGGATCTGCTATAGTATCAGTGGATCAGATATGTGTATCATGTCACAAAAGTTCGTTGGCCTTGGCCTCAATGTGTTGGACATCAGCCAATTTACATTTCGGTTTACACTATATGACGTTGTTAACAAAACCCAGATAAAAGAGCCGTGCTACTAGCGCGGTAAGTGGCTCCCGCGGTAAGTGGGTTTCGTACTGGGTGGGTCTCGCGGGGAGTGGGGCTTTGTCGCAGTAACTAGGTCCTTTCATCGTTGTTGAGATTAAAGTTTTATGTTTCTTTAACAACTTGCGCTATTCTTGGAATACCATCCTCAGAAGCTATAAATTTGCCCATATGATTTGTGCAGTTCCAAAATAAGACCCATGCTCTGATAATGCCCATAGTTACAAAGCCCAAGAAACATTATCATTATGATCTTATTGGTGTTGCAAAGGATAGTTTAATATTGTTTATTAAAATTAATAATCTCCATAACCGTTTTCCAATATAGATAAATTATAGTACGTAACAAATGTATAACTCAGTCTCGACAATGAAATAAAGAAATGTATATATATATAAATTTACATTATTATTAATGCAATGCAATACAATACAACTAATTAAAATGAAAG